TGATTTATGAGAGGTGACCAAGGAAATAGTAGTTGATATTAGAGTGAACAGCTACAGCAATATACAATATATCGGCCTAATTGGGATCTGCCAAATATCATTGATACGTAAATGGTGTCGGTTTAACGTCACAATAAGAATTTAAATCGGCGCGTCGCCGGTCGTTTCGTGGCGGCTGACCCGTCGCGATACCGCGGGTTCGCTCGCCCCGTTGCATCTTTCCGTTAATTCCTCGGTTCGTTTGACGTAAGATCCCATTAATGACCGGCACGGCGTCGGCGTCCATTTACGACACGCAATCTCAATTCGCTTGACGTGCGATCGGAAGCCTCGGAGGATTCGCATCTCTCAAAGACATACGTATGCTCATTCGTGCTCGGAGGTGTAGACGTAGAGTTAGCAACAGTTCTGAAACGGGTCGTGTAACATTGGTCGAATAGCCCCGAATCACGTCGACCCCGTGGCTAAAGATATTATTTTGGGGTGACCGTACACGTCGATTATAAGCCAATACAGGAGCTTCTCGACAGACGGACAAGTCGAGTTCCCGAGGCTCGTTCGCTAGTCCGACTTAACTCTTGTAGATAATGATATACAGTAGAGCTATACCGTATATACCCAGCACATTACGGTACAGTCGGTCCCCAACTTACGACGGGGTTAGGGACCGGCGACCGGGTCGCAAGTCGAAAATAATACCGTACATAGAAAATCTAAAACGGGTGTCAATTCTTCTTCTCGGCACCACGAGAACTCTCACTCTTACGCTTGCCAGCCATTTTAAAGGGAATTACAAACAAAAATTTTGTCGGTACACAGCGCAATCACTAACGTCGGGACTCGAAAATAGGTAATTTGACAAAATTTTGGTACAACCGAGGCGGTCGTACGTCGAGTAGGTCGTAAGTCGAGGAGTAGCTGTATTTAACTAGTGATAACAGAAAAAGTTATTTCTTTAATGTTTTGTATTTGTGTTTTAATGTTTTGTCTGTGAGTCGGTTCTCGCCTTCAACGTTTAGGTCACGAGGGAGGCTTAAATATATCTAGAAAAAAAAGTTTTTGCTCCTGCGTAAATATCACAATAGATTTGCACTGTCCTCTGTTTGGTCACAGCAGATTATGTGAAATTCGAGCGAGAGAGATTTAAATAATAAATCCCGCAAAATTGTGCGTCTCTCCCGGAAGCACGATAAGAATCCGTCGACATCGTCGCAGTTTCGTTCTACGTCGGTCACGTCCACGAAATGTAAACGCTATTGGACTGTACGAAACCGGGTATGCCGATTAAATTTTTGCTCATCCATCGCAAGAAGTTAGGTAGTTTAGATTAGATTAGGTTAGGTAGGGTTTTCAATGTTTTTTTTTAACCCTTCATGTTGAAAGTAACTTTGTTTGGAAGATTCATTGTTTTTGTTAGTGTAAGGAAATTAAGATCATATTTATTTATTAGAAAAAATCCAAATAAATACTGGTAAAATTATCGTTTTGGCCGTGCATCTATTTTCCAAAAGTCATAATCGTTCAAAATATCCATAAAAACCGTTGGAAAAAGATAATTTCAACTTTACGTAACCTATTTGAGTAATCGGTTTCTCCATGTGGTGTTAAACTATTGAGTAATGTTTATTTTTAATACAAAGTTGTTATTTGACCCGGATTCTGGGCCAAATGACCGTCGGCTATTTGACCGGGACCTGGGGGGATCGTGTGGGATTGTAGTCGGGATGGTTGGGGGCATTAAACAAGTCATTCCATTATGGTATTATTTAATTGTATAATTTCTGTTGACAAAAGGATTTAGTTTTATTTTAGATCTTTGTCAAATAACCGGCGGTTATTGTGCCGAGTACTGGTCAAATAATCCCTGCCTATAATATAATAGTTTTACAGTGTTGTGTATTATATAGGTATCTGTTACATTTCCAGGAAGCTTTAAGGACCAACAACACATCTCGGTACGACAAGTGGAGACTCAACCGTACAGACCCGTCCGGTCTCGCACACGACGCCGTTAACGGCAAACGGAGAAACGCCGCCGCCGCCGACCCGCGGGAGGTAAGACCGACGTCGTCACTTCGCGTCGGGCGTACGAGCCGAGCGTATTAGAGGACTTGTATTTAAGTGCACTTGTACAGTAATCCTATAAAAGTGGACATTTATGTAAATGATTGTGTCTAAAGTCACTTCCCATTGGTGTCGGTGGTACGGGACCTCTCAAAATTGTGGCCCAGATTCACGTTTTTCATCCAAAACCAAATTTTGAATGTGTGTTTATTTCGTTATTCTTTAAAGTACAGTGCAGTATATTAATAACTTTTAGCTTCGTTTTCAAAACATAATGTCATTGTTTATTAATTATGATTCTTTACAAATGCTGTACTACTTTTTCTGCCTGTATGTTTCAATTCAGTTTATGAAACTTTTATTTGCATAGTTTTGAAGAAGACTACAGTACTTAGTACATAGTTTAAATGTTTACATATCAACAGTGCAGTACTTTATCTTAAGTAATATTTTCAGGTACTTTCTCCATCACTGCCTAAAGTGGACCTGATGTGAACTAGAATGAAGTTGGCTGGACCTGCAGTGAAGTGGACCTGAAGCTAACTGGACCTCAAGTAGTCTGTGGTATTGTATTTAATATTGTTGTGGTACTTTGAATGTTAGGAAAGTTGTACAGGCATTCCCCAGTTTGTAAGAGTACTGTGTCTTATAAAAACCTATGGTAAATCGAATCAATATTCCTATAGACTCACATTATAAAAGCCAAGATACTTTTCTTCAATGAAAAAAGTTTCCCCCCAATTATGTAGTCTCCAAAAAGTATCGATAGATTTTCTAGCGGTAAAATTTGAAACGCTGGGTGAAAGACTTTGATGTGATCTCCAGTGCATCAGCATAAATTGGTACAGGTACATCCGGTCACTATATGAGCAACAGCCATAGACGGCGGGTAGCGAGAGAGGGAGGCATCCTCGCGTGACATACAACCGTACAGTATATGCTTTACTATAACAAGAAATCCATTAAGCTATATTAACGTATGTATCGTGCTGGGTAGAAGCAAGGCATATGTAAAGAAGCCCCTGACTGAGGATTACAATAACATGGAAATATACTTTAAATGGAAGAGTTTCGGATCACAACCGAGACGGACCTCGAGGCGAACATTTCACCGTGTCGTAGTGACGGTTTCATTCGTACCGAGCTGCAGAATATAGTCGTCGACGACACGTATGATTTATGAGAGGTGACCAAGGAAATAGTAGTTGATATTAGAGTGAACAGCTACAGCAATATACAGTATATTGGTCTAATTGGGATCTGCCAAATATTATTGATTCGTAAATAGTGTCGGTTTAACGTCACAATAAGAATTTAAATCGGCTCGTCGCCGGTCTTTTCGTGGCGGCTGATCCATCGCGATACCGCGGGTTCGCTCGCCCCGTTGCGTCTTTCCGATAATTCCTCGGTTCGTTTGACGTAAGATCCCATTAATGACCGGCACGGCGTCGGCGTCCATTTACGACACGCAATCTCAATTCGCTTGACGTGCGATCGGAAGCCTCGGAGGATTCGCATCTCTCAAAAACATACGTGTGCTCATTCGTGCTCAGAGGTGTAGACGTAGAGTTAGCAACAGTTCTGAAACGGGTCGTGTAACATTGGCCGAATAGCCTCGAAGCACGTCGACCCCGTGGCTAAAGATATTATTTTGGGGTGACCGTACTCGTCGATTATAAGCCAATACCGTATAGGAGCTCTTCGACCGACAGACGAGTCGAGCTCCCGAGGCTCGTTCGCGAGTCCGACTTAACTCTTGTAGATAATGATATACAGTAGAGCTATACCGTATATACCCAGCACATTACGGTACAGTCGGTCCCCGACTTACGACGGGGTCAGGGACCGGCGACCGGGTCGCAAGTCGAAAATGGGAAAATAATACTGTACATAGATGGGCGTCTCATTTTCTTCTCGGCACCACGAAACTCTCAATCTTACTCTTGCCGGCCATTTTAAAGGGAATTACAAATGAAAATGTTGTCGGTACACAGCGCAATCACTAATGTCTGCATTCAAAAATACATAATTTGACAACATTAAGACCAATCCCCACATGTGAAGGGACCCATACAAATTGAACATTATGGCCATTTTTCCGTATTGTATTTACTAATTTTCTACATGAACCAATAATGTGTCCAAAGACTGGACTCCCACTGTTCAAAGAATCCAAAGCTGCCCTACTATCAACAACAAAATATGCATCTTTATACCTCTTTACAACATTTTCCAATCCTACTAACATTGCATATAACTCAGCTTGTGTTGATGAAATAAAACTTCGCAACCAAAGTCCAATTTTGATGTCATCATTTCCTTGTTCTGTGTGCTGTCTTATAAGGATCCCGCACCCTGCCCTGCCACTTGACATAACTGAACCGTCACAAAAAACATGCAATGTGTTTATTTTAGGCAAATTACTAATCTTATTCCCATATAAAGCCCTTATAACTGTCCTGGTTCATGTAATGATTTCTTCATTGTGAGAGGCACTATGTCTAACTCTACTTCTCGTTCTTCCCCGGGTGGATTCTTACAACTCTTCTGAACAGCTGTACACCAGTCTGCCAGATTACATTTTTTAATAATATTTATTAATCCATTCATGTATCCTCTCTTGCCTTGCCTGCAGAAGGTCCTTTTATCTTTTAAACCATCATTTATATCTTGTACAAATTTACTCCCACTGTTCCCTCTCATTAATCGAACTGCTGCAACTGTATTAATTTCATTGACCCTCTGTGAAATGCTCTGTAACCCTAGTTCCATTTTCATTATCTCAATCATTGCATTCTTTTGACACCCTAAAATAATTCTCATTGCTTCTTTTTGCATGATCTCAAGCTTCCGTAGCCTTCCTTCACCAATACAAGAGAGGACAGGTGCTGCATAGTCTATAAGTGATCTGATGGTAGAAATACACATCATTCTCAGTATGGGTACCCCAGCACCTTTACCACAACATGCTAGAGCCTTCAAGGGCTGTAATCTTGCTCTACATTGAGTGAGGACATGATATATTTCTGCCTCTTTACTTTCACTAGTAAAGCCAATATACATTCCTAAATATTTATACTTTGACACTTTCTCAACAATTTTTCCATTTAGAAAAACGGATTCAGTTCCTCTTCCTTTACATTCACACTTGGTTTTTTCTTCATTCATAACTAAGCCCATCTTTTGAGAAAGAACACTAAAATCATTTAATGCAATCTGCAAATTTTTTACAGAGTTTCCTTGAAATAAGATGTCATCTGCATAAATGATGGTTACAACTCCTTTGGGATATTTGTGTGAGGCTATCTTGTTCATTAACACATTAAATAACATTGGACTCAATACTCCCCCTTGGGGAGTGCCTAGTTCAAGTGCTCTTTCCTCAGACAAACATCCCTGATAACATACACAGATTCTCCTTCCATGCAAGTAGTCACCTATCCAGTGTAACAACTTTCCTGATACCCCTAGAGCAACCAGTTCATTCATAACTACTTCACTGTGAGCTTTATCAAATGCTCCTTGTAAATCCACAAAAACTCTACATCTGTCTGCATCATTTGATAAACATTTTATAACACAGTCTGAAGTACATTTCCCTTCCAAAAAACCAAATAAATTACAAGATAGATTTTCCCCCACAATATATACAAGCCTATTTAATAATACTCTCTCCATCATCTTGGAAAAACAAGATGTTAAAGACACTGGCCTGTATCCACCAGTTGCCTTAGGGAAAGGAATAACTATCGCTTTCTTCCATTCTGTTGGTAATCTACCCTCTGCATAGCTCATGTTGAATAAATCTAATAATGGACTATTTTCCATACCAACTAAGCAGTTCCAAATTTCATATGTCACACCATCTTCGCCTGGTGCTGTAGATTTTCCTTTTTTAACAGCATCTTGAGTAATATCTACACATGTTACATCACAAATATTTAGAGCTGATGAAATAAATCTTTTTCTTTCATTTTGCCACTCATCTAATGCTTCTATTGTCCTGTTAGGCAGGGAGGCAACACTAGCAGCTTTAGCCCATTTGTCAACCAGTTTATTAGCTTCTTCCTCTGGATGAGGATGGCTAATAAAATTACTCCTTTTTCCTCTAATTTTGTGAATATCCTGCCATATTTCTTTGAGATTTTTACTCTCCCCAATGTGCTGTGCAAAATCTTGCCAATATTTCTCCCTTGCCTCCTTCCTAGCCTGCCCACATATTTTGGCTATATCCATGAAGATTTCCCTATCTTCTTCTCTTCTACCATTCTTTACCCAATCTTTATGTGCTGCCCTTAACATTTGTGTCCATCCCTTCAACATTTTGTCATTGGTATAGCAGTGTTTCCTAGCCCCATGTCTCTTATCATTTATTTTTTTCTGTGTTGACTTAGTCAAATATATTTCTATCTCCCCAACTAAGTCATTATAAAAGCTATCCATACAGACTTGTGTATAATTTCTATACCATTTCTCTATATTTTAGGTAAACACTTCTGTGTCATCCTTGTTTAGTTTCAATCTCTTCCTCCTATATCTCACCTGTCTCTTCCCTAATGGTAATTGAACATACACAACAAAATGGTCGCTGACTAGCTCCCTTATCATCTCACATTCTCCCTGGACTCCCTGACTGCTTATCATGCAAGCATAGTCTAACCTTCCTCCTTTAATATGAGTCACTTCCTTATTTCCTAACAAGTAAGAATCTGGGTGATCTTGTAAAAATTGCCAAAATTTTATACCATTTCTATTAATTCTCCCCATTGTTTCGAGTCTTGGATGTCGAGCATTAAAATCTCTTACAGCCAAAGTTGAGTCCAAAAACATGCAATCTGGTAAGAAGTTGAGGTCAAAACAGCATCCAGAAATATACAAATTTGCTATGTTCAGTTCTCCTTCCTTCAAATATAACTTTATACAGACACTTTCTATTCCTTGTACTCTACTCGGGTTTCCAACTAGTTCTGCTGGTATGGAATTCTTAATGTATGTTGAGACCCCTCTTATACCTTTACTAGATAGTTTAAGCAGGTCGCCTTTCCTGTCCCTGTAACGGGCCGCGTTTTCTCTTTTCAATAATTTACCATCCAGCTACTGTTTTCTGTTAGTATTCTATTTACTCATATACTTATTTGTTCTATGTAGCATTCCTCCAATGAGTACCCTGTTTAATATACTTATTCTCCTTCCATTCTTTACATATATATATTTATTCTTATATGTTCTTTACCTCTATATACCTTATATTCTTATATGTTCTTATATAAGTAACTCTTATGCTTCTCCACTTATGTTTTCCAAGTCAAGGTTCTTTCTTTTCATTTCCTTTCATATAGATTGTATTTTCAGTTTCAATGTTCTTACCTTTCTGAAGTATACTTTGTTTTATGTCTTTCTTATACATGGGTTAGTCTGGGGAACCATGTGATTCTTTGTATAACACGTTTTATACTTACAAGGGGTAGCTGCCACCACCCAGACTTTTCATTATATAACAGAACTCATGGAAGGGTTTTGGGTAGTGTGGTAGATGTATAGGCACGTGAGTAAGTATTATTTTCTGGGAACCAATGTTTAGAAGGAGTAGAGTGGTGATACTCAGATTACTAACTCAATATTTATTAATACAGTGAGTGGAGAAGATGCATCTTAGATTCACTCAGGCTAAACAGAACCGAAATTAACTTATTAATTCATCAAACACTTCAAGAACTTATTACCTCATTAAACACCTCCAAATATTCATTACTTTATTGGATACTGTTGTAGTATTTCTGTGACAAGTAAGATTTAGCAATGCTTACACACTGTCAATAACCCTGGACCCGCAGGTCTTACTTTAACAAGGAACAAATTACCTTCTCAATTCGTGGTTAGAACCTCATACTCTCAGGTTATTCTTTCATGGGTACTACAGATGAATACATAACACATTGGACTAACTCCACAATTATAGTAACATACAATACCTCCTGTTAGTTTGCAAGGAACAACCTGGTACCTTGAACTCTCATTCAGTGGTTCAATACTTAACCTGGGATGACTATATTTCTGCTAGTCATCCCTAAGCATGGATATTAATACGGCTCCATACATATAACCAAGAACAGTGGGTAGACCGTGATCATATGACGGAGTCAGTAGGCCAGAGTTGTTTACAGGCTCGCTCGCTAGCTCGGAGCGCCTGGCCCAGGAAAAGTTGACTGTGGCGGTGGGCCGTGGCGTCTGCCAAGGAATCTCGCCCTGGGATTCTCATCTCGCCACCTTAAAGACGTCTTAAGGCTAGCTAGATCCAGGATTAATATTTACACATTTTATATCCTTTCCAATCAGATTCTTTAAGAAGGCCCAATCCTCCTGCACAGATTCCCATTTCCTCAAAAGTTTTTCTTTATCAGCATCTTTACACTTTACCAACACCTTTTTAAAACTTTCAGTTGTTGCTCCCTGCGCTACACAATCCTTTATTTTCCTCTCCTTCCCTGTAATACTTATTTTAAGCACTGAATTTTTCAAAGGCTTGAGCTCTTCACTTTCCTCTTTCCTTTTTAATTCTACATTATTCACAGCTTTGTTTTCCCTTTCTTTATTTATCACTGTATCAAGTCTTTTCTCTATCACTTCTATTTTCTGACCTAACTTTTGCAAAAGCTGAAACATCTTAAGCACCTCTTCTCCCAGAATTTCTTGCACAGTTTTATCACTAACCTGGAGGGCTGCACCACTACTCTCACTTGCTACTTGTTTATTACTCTGTTTGTTTCTGGCATCAACAACGCTTCCGGCCGCAAGCGCAGTCCTTATCCTTCTTGAATCTTCATGCCAGGCATTCTCAGGAATCACTGTCTGTGTGTTCTCCTGCTGTCTTGTCACTGTCAGACCACAGCGTACTTCCTCAGTGTTCTCTGAATAATTCCTTTGTTGGTCACTTCTCATACGTGGCCTCATCTCGCATGCAATTGAACTAGCATTGAGAGTTTTACCACACTTACAACAACAACAAGGCTTCACTTTCTCTCCTGCTTTGATCTTGTCCTTACAGTTGCTAGATTCGTGCCTCTTCCCACAGAATCTACAACGTGGGTCCAGTTGACAGCTCCAGGCCTTATGTCCCCATCTGCAACACTTGAGACACATTATTGGTCCCCCCACATATAGTGCCACCTTCCTATACCCTGCTCCTGTGATGAACACTTTCTCTGGAACCTTTCCTCTCATTAGAGCAATAACCTGGCTTCTCTCATCGCCCCTTATTAAATGCCTCTTGACCCAAACAAATCTTTCGTCATCCAATAAGTATTCTGGGTCTAGTATTACAGGGTACCTGAAGATTATAACCTTTGTAAGTAGTATGTCGCTCTCCTCTGGCAAAACCATCAGTAATCCCTTGTACCCAACAGTTGTCAACATTTCCACAGCCTGTAAAATAAGGCTTGTGTGTGCCTTCTTTCAAAAGAGGCTCAAAGCTGCGATGCTCCCGTCCTAGTTGTACTGCCCATTTTAATTTTTCAAGGAAGGTCATCGGGCATGACTGGAAAAATTAATCTCTTCCTGACACGACCAACTTCACCTTGTGTGTGTGTTCTTGTCTGCTTCCTTCAAATTCCATACTTTGCTCTGTTCTTGATCCATTCTCCACTATCTCCTTTCTGTTATTTCCATTATTATTACCACCCACACACGTTTTTTGTCCTAGATGATTTTGTCTCTTCTCCTCTCTCACTTCTTTGCTTTCACTGTCCTCATGCCAGCTTGTCTCCCTCATTGTTTTAGAATTTTCTTTCTTATTCACTACCTCTTGTTGTAGCTGTATTTTCTCACTTTCGAACTTCCCTTGTGCTTCATCACTCTTATTAGACTCATCACTACTCAACTCAAGGTCTTCAAGAACTTCGTCCAATACTATCTTTTCTTTACTCTTCCATGTAGAGTTCTTAAGCGAAAATTCACTTTCCGTGGGGCAATGTTGACATCCCACAACACCCAGCCAGGAGTGATGGGACCCCGAGCAGTTATTTTTGTAAGGTAAACAGTAAGTTCCCAACACTAAAGTTGCTTGACGATACTTATCTTATCCTCGGGTCCTTATACACAAGTAGGTAAGTCTATATATCCTTCAGTTAATGTAATAAGCTCGAAAACATCCCAAATTTGTGAGCTAGCGCTCACAGCTGTGTTTACCGGACCAAAAAAATGGCCGCTCCGTCGTATGTCGAGTAGGTCGTAAGTCGAGGAGTAGCTGTATTTAACTAATGATAACAGAAAAAGTTATTTCTTTAATGTTTTGTTTTTGTGTTTTAATGTTTTGTCTGTGAGTCGGTTCTCGTCTTCAACGTTTAGGTCACGAAGGAGGCTTAAATATATCTAGAAAAAAAGTTTTTGCTCCTGTGTAAATATCATAATAAATTTGCACTGTCCTCTGATTGGTCACAGCAGAGAGATTTAAATAATAAATCCTGCAAAATTGTGCCTCTCTCCCGGCAGCACGATAAGAATCCGTCGAGATCGTCGCAGTTTCGTTCTACGTCGGTCGCGTCCACGAAATGTAAACACTATTGGACGCGTACGAAACCGGGTATGCCGATTCGGTTTTTGTTGGTCCATCGCAAGAAGTTAGGTAGTTTAGATTAGGTTAGGTAGGGTTTTCAATGTTGTTTTTTTAACCCTTCATGTTGAAAGTCTAACTCACTTTGGAAGATTCATTGTTTTTGTTAGTGTAAGGAAATTAAGATCATATTTATTTATTAGAAAAAATCCAAGTAAAAACTGGTAAAACTATCGTTTTGGCCGTGCAGCTATTTTCCGAAGGTCATAAAAGTTGAAAATACATCAAAAACCATTGGAACAAGATTATTTCAACCTAACCTAACCTATTTGAGTAATCAGTTTCTCCACGTGGTACTAAACAAACAAGTGCCTTTATTATAAGTGTACGAAGATGTTATTTGACCACGATTCTGGGCCAAATAACCGTCGGCCATTTGACCGGGACCTGCGGGGATCGTATAGGATTGTAGTCGGGATGGTTGGGGGCATTAAACAAGTCATTACATTATGGTATTATTTAATTGTATAATTTCTGTTGACAAAAGGATTTAGTTTTATTTTAGATCTCTGTCAAATAAGCGGCGGTTATTGTGCCGAGTACCGGTCAAATAATCCCTGCCTATAATATAAGAGTTTTACAGTGTTGTGTATTATATAGCTATTGGTCACATTTCCAGGAAGCTTCAAGGACCAACAACACATCTCGGTACGACAAGTCGAGACTCGACCGTACAGACCCGTCCGGTCTCGCACACGACGCCGTTAACGGCAAACGGAGAAACGCCGCTGGGAGGTAATACCGACGTCGTCACTTCACGTCGTGTCACTGGGCGTACGAGCCGAGTGTATTAGAGTACAGGTTGTACCTCTCTAGTCCGGCATTCTGTGATCCGGAACGATTTTAGTTTGTCCAATAGGTAGATAGGCAGCTTTTTTTTTTTTTTAATCTTGATTATTATTATTATTATTATTATTATTATTATTACAGGAGTATTAAATTTTTGCCCCTCAGGCCCCAATGTGGGTCAGTGACCTATGCCCGGGTGGGCTAATCCCCGTAAAAAAACAACAACGACAAAGCCGGGGGAAATTAAGGTTTGTTTACATCCGGCAGCTCTCTCTCTGTGCTTGTCTATACAGAGCATAACATTTAACCCTTCAATATATATTCTAGCAGTAAATAAGTGTTGCTTTCATATTCTTAAGTAGAGTAACGACGACATGTTTTCACGTGTGCGCACTTACATACGCTCAGTTTCACTTTTTTTTTTACCATTGATGGTTAGCTACTTATATTGTTCCATTTATTAACATTAAATAACATTACTTCAAACAAGCATATTAATTTTTTTACATTAATTTTACTACAGCTACAATCAGGGTCTAATTTTCTTCAGTTTTATATGTAGAACCAATCTGTCACCGGTTTTGTAAGCTTTAACAAAAACAATGCCGGCAGCCGTCTCGTCTCGTCGCGCGTTTTAATATTACACGTATTAGTAATAAATTGTATTGTTGATTTTGCACACACAAACATTAATTCAATAAAAACAAATTCAGAAACATTAATTAAAATATATATGAACAGTAAATAAGTGTTGCTTTCACATTCTTACGTAAAGTAATGACGATACGTTTTCACGCGTGCGCACTCGCATACGCGATCTCTGTTTTTCTTTACCATTATCGTTAGCTACTTCTATTGTTCCATTTATTAACATTACTTAAAAGAACCATATTAATTTTTCTACAGCTACAACCAGGGTCTTATTTTCTTCAGTTTTATACGTAGAACCAGTCAGTCACCGGTTTTGTAATCGACGAAAACGGTGCCGTCTCATTTCCTCGCGTTTTAATATTGAGCGTATTATTAATGAATTGTATTGCTCATTTTGCACACACTAACATTAATTCAATCCAAAAGACTTTCAGTAATAAATAATAACGAATCTTTCGTACATAAGAGAAATAACGCCGTTTACACGATCGTGCACGTCGTCCGAACGTCGGCGGGCCATTCAAACCCGTCGAAATTTGAGTTTCCGCCGTCAAAAGTTTTAAATGTGTCGGCTTTTTTTGTGCGTTCAAATAGAAAACGTCGAATTAAAAACTCGCGAAATTTGAGAAGGTACTGTACGACATTTAACCCTTCAATATGTCTTCAAAGAGACCACGAAGCAGAGAAAGTGGTGCTAGTGCTTCCAAGTGTAAACAGAAGTCACTATCTGTCCAGGAAGAGGGCGAATTTCCACGGTCGGGAAATTTCCGGCGTCCGGCACCGGTCGGGTCCCGTGGTTGCCGGACCGGAGAGGTACAACCTGTACTTGTATTTCAGTACACTTGTACAGTAATCCTATAAAAGTGGGCATTTATGTAAATGTTTGTGCGTAAGGTCGCGTCCCATTGGCGTCGGCGGTACGCGACACTTCCAAAATATGGCCCAGATTCACGTTTTTCATCCCATACCCAATTTTGAATGTGTGTTTATTTCGTGGTTCTTTAAAGTACAGTACAGTATATTAATAACTTTAACTTTCGTTTTCAAAACATAATGTCATTGTTTATTAATTATGATACTCTATAAATGCTGTGGTACTCTAAATACTTTTTTCTACTTATATGAATCAGTTGAGTTGAGTAAACTTTTATTTGCATAGTTTTGAAGAAGACTACAGGACATAGTTTAAATTTTTACATATCAACAGTGCAGTACTTTATCTTAAGTAATATTTTCAGGCACTTTCTCCAACACTGCCTACAGTGGACCTGATGTGAACTAGAATGAAGTTGGCTGGACATAAAGTTTACTGGACCTCAAATAGTCTGTGGTATTGTATTTAATATTGTTGTGGTACTTTGAATGTTAGGAAAGTTGTACAGGCATTCCCCAGTTTATAAGAGTACTGTGTCTTATAAAAACCTATGGTAAATCGAATCACTATTCCTATAGACTCACATTATAAAAGCCAAGATACTTTTCTACAACGAAAACAGTTCCCCCCAAATTATGTACGGTCCCCCAAAAAGTATCGATTGAATTTTCTAGCGGTAAAATTTGAAACTCTAGATGAAATACTTTGCTGTGATCCCCAGTGCATCAGCATAAGTTGGTACAGGTACATCCGGTCACTATATGAGCAATAGCCGTAGACGGCGGGTAGCGAGGGAGTCGTCCTCGTGTGACATACGACCGTACGGTATATGCTTTACTATAACAAGAAATTCATTGAGCTATATTAATGTATGTATCGTGCCGGTTAGAAGCGAGGCCCCGACCGAGGATTACAAAAATATCGGAATATACATTAAACGGAAGAGTTTTGGAACGTCACGAGCTAGACCGAGACGGACCTCGGGGCATACGTTTCGCCACCGCGTCGTAGCGACGGTTTTATTCGTACCGAGATGCACAATGTAGTCGTCGACGACACGTCTGATTTTTGAGGAGTGACGGAGCAAATAGTAGTTGATATTAGAGTGAACAGGTACAGCAATATACAATATATTGGTCTAAATGGGATCTGCCAAATATTATCGATACGTAAATGGCGTCGGTTTAACGTCAAAATAGGATTTTAATCGGCGCGTCGCCCGTCGTTTAGCGGCGGGTAACCCATCGCGATGCCCGAGGGTTCGCTCGCCCCATTGTGCCGAGTTATTCGAGCGTTGCGCGTACCCTCGTCGCGAAGGCTAATAATAGCGCCTCTCTCCCCGTTGTGTCTTTCCGATAATTCCTCGGTTCATTTGACGTACGATCCCGGTAATGACCGGCTCGGCGTCCGTTTACGACACGCAATCCAAATTCGCGCTACGTGCGATGCGAATCCTCGGAGGATTTGCATCTTTCAAAAACACATACAGTCGTGCGCCGGTTAACATCCGATAGCATATACAGTCGGCCCTTAACATTCGCTGGGGTTAGGTAACAGAGATACCCGTGAATGTTAAAAATCCGTGTACTATTGCTACCCCCCCCCCCCTAAAAAATCCCTGGCCCCCCATGTCCTTATTTACCGTATATACCTGTGTGTAGTTTGAGTTTTTAAGACCAAATTATTTGGCAAAAATTGGGGGTCGACCTCTAAACGGGTAATAGTTTCGTTAGGTTGAAAAATATTTACCAGTAAACAATGGAAACGATGCACCAACACACCACCCGCTGTGAGTGTCGGTACAGTTGCCAGGGCAGATCTGTTGCGAGCCCAAAGTAGCCAAATCCATGGTATGGTAGCACAGGACGATGTAAAACAAAGTATTCATTTATTAAAGTTAATTTATAGATACTGGACATAAATGTTTGTTCATTACATTTGAAACATCAATCTTTGTTAATTAAATTTGAAACAAGAGAAAACTACGATACTGGATTTTCATTAAAATATTACATCACAAGTATATTTTACCTTAACTGTGACTGAATGAATATATTCTCGGAAATAAATATGGAAATGTAATATTTTTGCTGGAATGACGTACATATTATAGTGGGAAGTGGGATAAAATCATGAGGAAAGACTTTCGCTTTCTTTCGTTGTTCAAAATATTTTACCGTAATCGCTTTTCGAATGGTTTTCAGTTAAAAAACTGTTGTACTCGTACTGTATTACAATAATATTCTATCCTATCATTAGCCTTATAATCCCACAACTGAAAACCATTCGAAAAGCGATTACGGTAACATCTTTTGAACGAAAGAAAGCGAAAGTCATTGCTTTCGTCACTTTCCACTGTAATACGTACATCATTTCAGCAAAAATATTACATTTCCATCTTCTCAGAAATAAATGGTAGTTTTGTTGAAAGGTAATGTACAGTATTTAACATTAAAATGCAAAAATAGCTATAAAAACAATTAATACACCCGTAATGTACTGGCTGGCATCTCCACTCGTCCCTGCTCCCGCCAGTCACCACTCCTCCCCGCTCTATCCCTCCGCCTCCTCCACATCGTCACTACTGTTGTATTACAATAATATTCTATCCTAATTGACTTGAATAAATACTACGATACCATATTTCTGAATATTTTCATTAAAATCAATCCAAATCATTTTCCTTGCCATCGTCTGCAGCACCACACAGCTTCTCCCAGTCCTCTCCTTGAACGGGGCCAGAGGGTACGTGTTTTTCGAATCGTTTTCAATTAAAAAAATGTTACATCACATGTATATTTTACCTAAACTGCGCCTGAATGAATATATTCTTGGAAATAAATAGAAATTTTGCTGAAACGTGATGTATTTCAATGTAAAATAGGAAATAAATAGTAATTTTGCTGAAACGTGATGTATTTCAATGTAAAATAGGATAAAATACATGACGAAAACAAAAGACTTCACCTAACCTTGCAATGTTCAAGAGATGTTACTCATTTTTTTAATAGTTTTCGGTTACAGAAATGAAATATTTTTGCTGAAATGACGTAAGTATTACAGTGGAATGTGGGACAAAATCGTGACGAAAACAATGACTTTCGCTTTCTTTCGTTCAAAAGATGTTACCGTAATCGCTTTTCGAATGGTTTTCAGTTAAAAAACTGTTGTATTACAATAATATTCTATCCTAATTCACTTGTGATGCAACAGTTTTTTAACTGAAAACCATTCGAAAAGCGATTACGGTAAAATATTTTGAACAACGAAAGAAAGCGAAAGTGTTTCGTCATGATTTTATCCCACTTCCCACTATAATATGTACGTCATTCCAGCAAAAATATTACATTTCCATATTTATTTCCGAGAATATATTCATTCAGTCACAGTTAAGGTAAAATATACTTGTGATGTAATATTTTAATGAAAATCCAGTATCGTAGTTTTTTCTTGTTTCAAATTTAATTAACAAAGATTGATGCTTGAAATGTAATGAACAAAAATTTATGTCCAGTATCTACGAGTTAACTTTAATGAATGAATACTTTGTTTTACATCGTCCTGTGCTACCATACCATGGATTTGGCTACTTTGGGCTCGCAAGAGATCTGCCCTGGCAACTGTACCGACACTCACAGCTGGTGGTGTGTTGGTGCATCGTTTCCATTGTTTTCTGGTAGTTACTGGTAAATATTTTTCAACCTAACGAAACTATTACCCGTTAAGAGGTCGACCCCCAATTTTTGCCAAATAATTTTGTCTTAAAAACTCGAACTACACACAGGTATATACGGTAAATAAGGACATGGGGGGGCCAGGGATTGTTTTTTGGGGGGGGGTAGCAATAGTACACGGATTTTTAACATTCACGGGTATCTCTGTTACCTAACCCCCGCGAATGTTAAGGGCCGACTGTACTTCAATTACTTCAATGTACAGAATATTCCTCTGGCGGGGCAATCCGCGTATTTGCGAATCCGTGAATGCTAAACCCGCGTATGTGAAAGGCCGACCGTACGTCCGTGCCCCCCCTCGAAAAAACACTTCCGTGATGCCTGCTGGACCACCACTCCAAGACCCCCCTGATGGAGACACGACGATCCTTCCCGTACTGGCTAGATGTTATGTGTTAAAGGAATATCATTCCTTAGGCTTTAGTAAGCATTTTCCTCCAGGTGTAATGTTAACCTACATCTATTGAGGATAAAATCTTTCACCTACAAATTGACAATAACACATTTGCTGTAATCGGACATATCTAGTTGCCTCAACAATTGCAACCCTAGTTGCAATTTGAAATTCTGTGTCATTACTGAGGAATAACGAAGTCTCTGGTGCACTGCACTCTAAGATTAAGAGAAAATGGACTCGGGCATCCCGAAGGGAGAGAAAACGGACTTCCACGACGGGAGACTCGAGCACTAACACGTGCCACTCATACCGAGAGACTTGACAAGTTTTACCGACCATTAGTGATGTACGTTATCTAGTGAATTTAGTCAATATTGTACAGTATAAGTATACTGCAATTACAGCGGTCCCTCGGTTAACAATGGACCCGAGTGCAAACCCTTACTGTACGTGTACTAAACGATTACGGTACTTAAATTGTTATGTCTATGGCAAATATAGATTGTTTACACAGATATTCAAATACTATCTTACAAGTTATATTCACCCAGGTCGTTTGGGTGGCAAATTATGAGAAGAGCTTAGTCACTCTTAAGTAATGATAAATAAACACTCGGGCCTTCAGCGCCAACTGTCAAATCTTATCTCAAATAAATAAAGACATTGTCACCTCACTTCCCCCCCCTGCTCGCTGGCTACCTCCCTCCTTGTGTTCCCAGACAAAACATTGGTGATAACTTTATGCTTTAAGGTGTTTATTTTATATAATATCTCAGACTAAAGTTAGGGGATTACAATTTGCATAGCTGGAATCCTTGCAAGACAGCCAATAATTTGAATATAAACATTATATATATACTGTATTTTGTTGAAGATATAAAAATTGTAGTACATTTTATAATATAAAGTTTTTCAACTGTATTTTTGGGTAGATTTATATCAATTTCTTCATCCATTTACATGCAGACACCACAATAAAAGAAACGTAAAAGAAATAAACGACCTCGGTGCAAAGCCGGAGCATTGTTGTACTAATTTGATTACGGTACAAAAATTGTTATGTCCGGTGCAAATTACAGCATGTTTATATTCAAATTAATCAGTATGTTACAAGAATCCCAGCAATGTTAATTATATTGTACCAGGTCATTTCACTGGCATTTTAAAATGAGAGAAGCTTAGTAGGACTGTTAAATAAACTCACAGAGACCTTCGGCTCAAACTGTCAAACATCTCCTCTTAACTCTCTCCCCCATCTGTTGAGCCAGGGTTTTAGGCTTACAGTTTTTATCTTACATAATATTTCAGACTAAAGTTAGGAGATTATAATTTGCATTGCTGGAATCCTTGCAAGACAGCCAATAATTTGAATGTTAACGTCATATATTTTGCTCGAGAGATAAAAATTGTTGTACGTTAGTGTACAGTACTGTAGTACATTTTATATTATAAAGTTTTTGAACTGTATTTTTGGGTAGATTTACATCAATTTCTTCATTTATTTTCATGCACACAGCATACTAAAAGAAATAATTGACCTTAGTGCAAAGCTGGAGTTTTGTTGTACTAATTTGATTTGGGTACTAAAATTGTTATGTCTAGTGGAAATTATAGCATGTTTATATACAAATTAATCAGTATGTTACAAGAATCCCAAGAATGTTAATTATATTCACCCGGGTCATTTCCCGGCCGGGAAAAAATGCGCCACAGACCCGGGCGCCAACCGTCGGTGTCGCCGGGCTTTATCTTAAGTAATATCACAGACAAAAGTTAGAATTTAATTTGCATTGCTAAAATCGTTACAAGACGGCTAATAATTTTAACATAAACGTTGTATATTTTGCACAAGAGAAAAAAATTTGTAGCCCTTTGTAATAAAATTAGTTACAACTAAAATTTGTATGTGAACTATAGCATGTTTATATTCAAAGTAATCACAATTTTATAAGAATTCCAGCAATGTTAATTATATTCTTCCAAGTCAGTTTAGTGATATTTCATAAGAGAAAACCTGAAAGTCACTGTTAAGGACAGATAAATAAATAAGCTCTAGACCTTGGCATCAACTGTCAAACCGATAACCCTCCTCCCCATCTTGCCGCGAATCCGATCACGAGTAAACGGGCCATTTCGCGTCTCGTAATTTTAGCCGCGTCGATTTACGAGCGTCCGTTTTAACGCGATACTACAAAAACGATGTTTTGTAGGAGATGGGCCGAGGTGCATTTGGGTATATTGGGTCTTTTTAGTATTTTGTGTTAGTCTCGAGTACCAAAGTAAATTGTTCCATTGAAACCACTTTAATTGAGTCCAAATTTGGTTTAAAGCTATTAGCTCTCTAGGAATGCGCCTCGCGTCACCGACGCGTACGCGGGACCGGTAACAATTTTACGTAAACGCGTCGACGACGTAATATTCGACAATGCTGTCGGGTCGTCGACGTGC